GATTGAAGACCAGCCTTCTCCAATCCCTCACCCCCTTTTGACCATGTGCCATATTTTTTATTTTTCAAAATAAATTTTAAATTCCTCTATGGTACTGAAACTTTCTAAATTTAAGGACAGTACTAGATTGATGGCATTTTACAGTAGAAATAGCTAAATGTAACCCTAAGTTCTATGCTAACAGTTTCTTCTCTTACACTTCTCACTTATAGAAATCTCTTTTGGTTCCATGATTTCCAGCCAACTTTAATCCTCAAAAATTTAAATGCAATGTCAATTGTTATCTACTGTCTTTCTGATTACTCTTCTATTGTTCTCACTTCTTAATGTTTTTCTTATTCTTTCACACTCACTAACCCCTTGTGTTGTAGTAGCTTTATTGCCTTGTTTGGGGTGCTATGATTAAAAAAAAATTTAAATATTTCTTCTATGGAAATGGCTAAATTTCACCGTTATCAATAATAAATAAAATGTTTGCTTATTCACCTGTCAAGAAGCAAAAATACTTTAAGGAGTGAATTTCAGAATCTAGGAAACACTAAGTAAATATTTTATCAGTTTATTATTATCTTCCACACTGTTTTTCCATTTTCAACTGGGGATCTTGCTTCATAGGTGTTCTCCAAGTTCTATGACCTCAAATGGATAGCATCTTTCACAGAATACTTGCAGAGTCAAGCAACACAGACTTCTGAAGTGATGAGATACTAGGCTTTATTCAGAACTGCTGTCTTCATCTTTACTGACATATTCATGATGTTTCGGCCATTGTACACCCCGGCCTTCTTCAGAATTAGTCTATATTTCTGAGATGAGGTATTGTAACTATTTACATTGTTCAGACTGATGTCCTCATCTTTAATGTCACATTCATGACATTAGAACAATCTACCCCCAGGGACTAAATAAACGGTCTGGTTTGAAATTCCAACAAATATCACCTGAAGAAGGCCGTAGCATACAATGGCCGAAACATCGTGAATGTGACATTGAAGATGAGGACAACAGTCCAAATAATGTAAATAGTGCAGACAGTTACAATACGACATCTCAGAAATATAGACAGATCCTGAAGAAGGCCAGAGCATACAACAGCTGAAATGTCATGAATGTGACGGTAAAGATGACTCAACAATCTGAACAATGTAAGTAGTGTAAATAGTTACAATACCCCATCTTGGAAATATAGACAGATATAGGTCTTTAAGTTTGAGAGTATAGACCCCAACACCCCAATGATAACAATAGTGACGGAAATGCCTTACATTCTGGCAACATCAACCTGAAAGTCAGTGCACTTTTAAGTTTTTCAATTTTTCTCACCTGGCTGTCAATGAAGATACATTTTCTTTTTTTTTGTTCAATGGTGGTGATGCCTGGTTTGGTGGGGTCCCTTTCCCTCCCTCTCTCCTTCTCTTTCTCTCTCTCCCCTCCCTCCCACTCCTCTATCTATCTATCTGCGGTCTGTTTTGATGTTGAAAATCGCATAAGATCTTGACTTGGTGGTTTTCAGTCACCTTCTCTGGTTTTGTGGGGACGCCATTTCTGTTTGACTTCAAATTCATATTTCCTACATGTGCACCAATAGGAGGCCATTTTATTATGGTGGCGCTTGTATGTATATGTATATATATATATATATATATATATATGGGTGCATGGCTGAGTGGTTAAAAGCTCTCATTCTGACCAGGTTCATTCCATTATTAATGATCTATAACTAGCTTGTGAATCATTACACTATATTGAGGCACTTTTGAATGTATGTAATAGGAAATACTGGTTCAAATCTCACCATGGTTGACAGCATGTGGCATTAGGGCATGTAGATTTTGAAACTCTGCTATTGCACTCAATTTGAAGGCTGGGTTTTGTCATGATAAATAATGACAAAATATTTTCCCCCAATCCTTACCATTTTTTGAGGAAACTAGTTTAAGTTTAGGTATAAAATTGTAGTGTTGGAATTTCATTCTGGTGATCAGTGAAAGCCTTAGAGCACAGCCTTATAAAATTTGTAATTTACTGAAGCTTTACAAATTGTGCCATGCATTTTGTGCATATACAAACATTATTACTAAATCACTGTGCCATCAAATAAGACCTTTATTTAATTCAAAGGGAAATAGTACTGAACAATTGAGCTATATGATGTAATATGTTATACAGTGCAAAAATTTTAGTGTGATTTTCAATAAACAAAATAAATTTAAAACATTTTCTCTTATAATGTATGCCCAGCAGTATTATTTTGTTATATACACTTTTATCTAATTTTTGTTTTTATTAATTAACAAATGATTTAACAAATTTTATTCATTCAGTAGACTTTTTGTAATCGTTTAGAATTTTTTTTATTTTTTACAGTTTTACAAATACAGTAAAAAATTGCCTATTTTGCTTGTGGTGATTCATAATTAGAATTCTGGTTTGAATATATTTTCCATTCAATTTACCTAATACAAAAATATCAACTTTATTTGGATTTATTTTTGAAATAATTAAGTATTGAAGTCAGTTTATAAGCAAAAACTTGTGAAAATTAGGTCTTTCTGTTCATTTTTGTAGATGATCTCTAAAACTAAATGCTCAAAAATTGGTAATGGTTATGAATCTAAGTTTTAGTTACAGTACTTATAGCATCAACCTCCAGCTTTCACACTGAGTGCAATGTTGATTTTCCATAAAAAAAAATGGGGGGGGATCAACCTACCCTAATGTGACCTCACTGGGAAGTACCAAAAAGAAAATATATGCCACAAATTGATTCAAGCCTTTTTAAGTAAAACTGAGTAGACAAAACTGTCCAGAATCTATCCAGGGATGTCCTAGTACAAAGTTACAAGTCATCATGACCAAAGGTTTGAGTGTACTGGTCTTGTTCAAACTGTTGATCATGCCGGACTATTCACTCTCTCCCAGAAACTAAATCAGATTCACTAAGCATAGCTGCAGTATAAACTACATGTAGGTGTTGAACAAATGCCTGAGCAGGCACCTTCATCAGGGATTAGCTAGCTAACCTAGTAGACAGGCATACACAGAAACAAGCAGCCAGCCATACATATCAATAAGTAGGTGTTATCAATCCGAGACTAACTTCTTAACCGTTACTTGTCATCATGAGGAATTCATAGATTTTATTCCCTAATCTTAGGTGTGTCCGATACAAGGACAAAGTACTGTGAGCACCAAATCAAGGTTAATTACATTATTAATGATCTATAACTAGCTTGTGAAGCATTACACTATATTGAGGCACCTTTGAATGTATATAATTTACTCTAGACTATTTTTCCTTTTGTTGCAGATATTAAAAAATGCAAATACGATATGTGGAAAGCAATTGCATGTGCTTTGCAAGTGAAACCGTGTCATGGAAGGCCAACTCCTCTCTCAATTTGCAGGTGAGTCTCATATGGATTTCATTATTCTACTTAACAGCACTTTTTCTTGAAAAATGTGAAGATGAGCCTTTTCTGTAAACAAGCACCTAATAAAAGGAATGGGGTTCTTTATTATTGGGGTGTTTGGAATTTTTCAGTGTGGCTTGTTGGAAAGTCATTTAAAGGGTCAAAATTCAAGAATATATAAGTAATTTCTTTCTTTTTTTTTTTTTTAAAAAAAAAATAAATAAATAAAATAAAAACAAAAACATTTATCAAATCCATTTTTTTTCCTTAACCCTGTATTAGTCACCTCAGATTTCTGAAAATGTATAGTCCCCTGGGGTGTTTACACACTCCAGTACAAAACGCTTATAGTGTTTCAATTATATAAAATATTGTTGTACTGCTGACAAAATATCATAACAGGGAATTTCCATTACAATATACATTAAATATAAACTTGAACTGAAGATATAATTATTCATTGAAGTGAAAATTATAATAAATTTGTTGGCTAAAGATATGTTGTGAATTTTAGGCACCCCACTCCCCAACAATACAATAATAAAGATTTTATTCATCAAAAATAGCCACAATATATTTCCATGAATAGGAAGATATTACATTAGCTGAACTTATAATCACAGGACTGAAAGAGTAATATATATATATATATATATATATATATATATATATATATATACACCACAAAATGAAATTGCTCTATGGGAGAACACTTTTTACCTCCTATCAATATTGCTGATACTAACCTCCAGGAGAGTGACACATTGTGCCTTCTCAGACTAACGTCTTCAGCCAATATGAAGTGAAAAAAGTATATTGAATCAATTGCTAAGTCTGCAGCTAAGAAACTCCGTTCACTACATTGTGCTAGGCAATAGTGTAAATAATGATAACTCCTCATTCTAGAAACTTCAACTGAAGATAAAATTGATATGAAATAAATTTGTTGCCTAAACATATGTTGTAATTGTAGACAAAACCCATGAATACAATAATAGACAAAAGTTTTATTCATAAAAAATAGTCACAATATATTTTCATGAATAGATGGATATTATATTAGCTAAACTCATAATTACAGAACTGAAAGGGCAATAAATTATATATGTGTGTGTGTGACCCGGATATAAGAGAGATTTTCTCTGGTCCCAAATTAGAGCCTGTGTTAATGTATATAAAATAGACCAAACCCGGATATAAGAGACTTCTTCTCCAGTCCCGACAACTCACTTATATCCGGGTTACACTATATAAAGTGAACATAACATAAACACTTAGAGGCGACAGTCTGTTTCATGCTATATGCAATCGTCAGGCCTGACGATTGCATATAGCATGAAACAGACTGTCGCCTAAGTGTTCCACTTCTATGTTCACTTTTATATTTACACACGCCTATCTCTGATATCGAGCACTTTATCCCATAAATATAGCACACCTTAAGACTATATTTCTTCATATATATATATATATATATATATATATATATATATATATATGTGTGTGTGTGTGTGTGCAGCTTTATTTCACTCATATCCAAGAATTTAATTTCTTCTTTGCTGATTGCTTCCTTTATGATGATTTTTTTTTTTTTTTACTACAGTATAAAAGGCCCAGGAGGTAAAGGGTTACATTAAGGAGCAGTTTTTATACCTGAGGATACTTAATGTCATTATAAACGGTTCAATCTTAAATTTCTTTCAAACTTTGTATATGTAAAAAGTGAAGACCAAGATCACATATACACCATATCCATCACTTATGCATTGTGGAAATCTCAACCTTTTTTTGATTTGTAGACTGTGGAAGGAAATTGTGAACGTGTGTTATTAACAAGAACAAAGATTTTCTTTTTATAATATGAAGTTTATCAAAGACTGAAACTTGGTAATTCTAAAAAGATCAAATGGAATACTATTTTTAAACAATGCAATCGAATAAAATCTTTCAACACGACATAAAAAAAGATGCAAAAAATGGTGGTAAATTTGCAGTATAAGTACCAAAAGCCTCTGGTATTGAGAATGTACCATTCTGGTGTGAAATTGCCTGGTTATTTTGAAAATGACATCAAAACATTGCACTCAAATACCATTTACAAGTTATGGACAATATAAGTTTGACTTCTTTCTCATCACGTACACAGAATATCCGTCATTACTGGCTTTGTTTACATATGTTTGCCTCAAGCAGTCATGTGCCGCAGAAGCTTCACTTGTTTTAATTACTGCACAATGTACTAAATTTTAAATGAATGTGCAAAATAATGCTTGTAAAAAAAAAATCTGACAATTAAAATAAAATAAAAATTATGTGCCTGAAAAGTAATAAAAGAATTTTTTCCTTCTATTCAACAATGTTTCTTTTATGTGTCATGAAACTTTCTTGAATTTAGAGCTTCGTAAATTACATTTTAGGGTGAGATTCTGTTTCATTAGCTATAAGCAGATTTATCAAGGACAATAAAGAAAAAATACTATTCATGTAAAACTTCATTTTAAAAAATAAGCACATTTTAAAATAATATCCTAAAATTGTACACTAATTGTTATGGTCCAGTTCCTTGTACCACTGTGATAGTCCAAGGTAGAACCAATAAAGAAGAACTCGAATACAGATATGGAATAACACAGATATATTACAAACAGGAATATATACAGAGAAGTAGAAAGTGTTAGTACAAACAAACAGGTTTATTAGTAGTTAATTGTCTGAAACGTGACTCTGTTTCGGACTGCCTCTGACTCGACTGACTCGCTGACTGACAGACTCCTGACGGACTTCACTCCAGACTGAACAGTATTTAGCCCCCACCCCACCCCCCACAAGGGCATCATGTGGCACAAGGCCGGTTTAACATGGGATCTCTGAGCCCTTGGGCTCGGCCAAAAGTATGCCCTTTGAACCCGTATAAATGGGTTTAGGGTCAGATTACCTCCCCAAAAGAGAGACTGCCCTTCGGCGTAGCCTCGTTCGGGTTCCTCCTCGCCCAAAGGGAGAGAGTTCAGCCGGTTACCCGACTTCGTGCTGAACTCTCTGCTTCCTCTTGAGGCGCAGTATTTATTACGTATGGAATAGTCCATTGTGTTATTATGGGAAAGGTCCCCTAACACTAATCAAGACCAGTAAGATACAAAAAGCTGTAAAAAGGTCGTTAAGTAAACTTCCATGTATTACTACTAGAGGAAAGTATAGGTAAACATCGTCAGTAATGGTGGCTTGACAATGCGAAAGAGATCAAACTTACATTGATGATAATTCAGAAACGGAAATTGAGTACAATGTTTTAATGTCATTTTTAAAATAACCAGGCAATTTCACAGCAGAATGGTACATTCTCAATATCAGGGGCTTTTGGTGCTTCTACTGCAAATTAACTGAATTTTTGTTCTGCCCAACTTTATATATCATTGTTAATAAAAGTTGTGTGGAAACTTTGTTACCAACCGAATAGTTTCAGTTAATTTATTACAAGTTCTGCAATTATCTAATGTTTTTTTAGCAGCTCAGATCGAGGAATCGGAGAGCCGAGTTCAAATTCCAGTTGAATGCATTACATTCACTTATATACTAATAACTTTGGGAAAGGTATGAATCCTGTTCTCCTACCCCCACAACCCAAGCTGTGGGTAAGTAGCAGAACAGACTGAGTTTTATAGCCTTGGATGGCAACTTGTCCATATATAGAAAGAAATGGCAATCTACTACAGAAAAAAATCTGCCTCGTCAGTCATGTATCAAAAGATACATGATCGCCTAAGTGTGTATCATGCATGGCACATAAGTGATCTGATTCCATTTTAATTCCTGGTGAAGAACAGTTCTTCATATTGTTTACAGTTGAATGAATGTCCTCATCTTTGTTGTCGTTGTTACCACAAGGTCACAATCTTTCTCGCTTACCTTTCGTTCCTTTTCTAGTAACTCGTCACCCATCACTATGATGTGCAACTCTCTATTTACAGGGAAGACTGTATTTATATCCTGAGCAAATGTATCAACTACAGAGATCTGCCCCGAGCCAAGAATGTCTCCATGTTGTGCAGTCCCCTGCCATCACGGTTGGACAGCTATAATTCCTGCGTCTCCATCAGCAAATACCTGAGTAAGTTATGCATTTTGTTGTGCTTCTACTTGAATTTAAATTCTTCCTCACATCACCATTTTTTTTTTTTTTTATATATACAAGTTCAGGACAATTTTTTGTCACTACTTCACTGTGTCCCTTTTGTTTTTATTATGCCCTGTGAGTGTCAGATTCTCCAAACCCCATTTCCTCAGTATGCATCCTGGAACATTCAATATCATCCTAAGAGGGACTGTCTTTTTCATTACCATTTTTTTTTGTTTTTAGAACTTACTCATTGGTCTATCAATGGTTTTTTTCAGTATTCTTTTGTAGTTTAAACCAAATTTACGCAAAACTTTTGCCTCGACCGGTTGAACCGGGCCCGCGTCTGCGGCTTTTGCCTCGACCGGTTGAACCGGGCCCATCTTTCCATTAATTCATTGTGCTTTTTGTCCTGTAAGACTGGTATTCAATATGAAATAACTAATAACTCACCAATATCTGATATGGCATTAAATTAGCCAACCTAACTCTTTCCACTCTTCTTACGTGTCTATTATTCACATTTTAAAAAGTTTAGTGTAAATGCTTTTTCTTTTTCACATGCGGTCACTTTTTCACCTATGGTTAAATCTTGTAAATGAAGAAGGCACACTACACAGACAACACTCTCACCAGTCCAGGCAGTAGCTGCAAAATGCCATTACTATCTTAGTTGACCTTGATAGTTGCCAATCTCAAGAGATGTGCTCCCAAACAATTAATGTCAGCATGCTGTACAGTCGTTTACTCTCAAAGTCAAACAGATGTCTCCCATTTTTCTCATCTCCTTTTACAGAACCAAGTCCTCACCATGTGAAGCAGGAAGAAGTGACAAACCCTTGCAAATCAAACCCTTGCAATGACAGCCATATTTGCATGGTAAACCGACGTAAATGCAAACACCCAGAGAACTGCCGACCTTACGTGTGCAAACCTGGTAAGTCATTTTGATTTGGAGGCAAAAACTTGGAAAGGAATAAAGGCTTTAGGTGAACGCAGTCAGTTATTTTTGGCCTACCAATTTTGTTAACATATTTTTGCTCCCTCTTCCAGGCCTATGGATATGCAGGTGGTGTAATGGATAGCAGATTGGAATGAGAATTTGGAGAGCCAAGTTCAAATTTCAGTGAAGATTGTTGCATTCACTTATACACACACAAATATCCTTGGTTAAAAAAAAAAAAAAAAAATGAATCCATCTCTTATACCCCCAGCTGTGGGTTAAATTGACCCCACTTGTAAAAAAAAAAAAAAAAAAAACTGATCAGACCTATGGCTAACGACACCACTCATAAAAAAATTACGGGCTACAGAAACAATGGCTGCATCACCTAGTTTGCCAAGAGCTATGGCTCTATATACCACAGCGGTGTCTCTGGGACTTGAGTGAGTTTATTCCAGATCTATGCTCAATCACTGAGTATAAATGTCTACATAACTTGAAAAGGTGTTGGAGAAGACAAGTTGTTTGACTTTATATCTCAACCATTTGGACAGAGAATGTTTATAAATTTTCAGAATTCCTTGCATAATGTACTGAAGTATGAGTAATAGATTTAATTTTCAAAAGTTGCGACATTGACCTGGAATTCTGAAAAGAAAAAAAAAAATTTCCTTTTTGCTTTATCTAAAGTATTTTATTACTAGTTTTTATAACTTATATAACATTACTTTAATCTCGACACTATTCGTCAACATACTCCTTATTACTATTATTTTATTACTAGTTTTATTCCATCTTATTAGTGTTGCTTTTTTCCCCCCAACACTGAATCAATACACTCTTTGCTAGAACTGTTATTTTATTAATAGTTGTATCTTATTATTGGTTTTTTTTTTGTCCCAACACTCTGGCTCTATACACTCTTCATTATCACTATTATTCTATTACTAGTTTTATTCCATCTTAATGTGGCTTTTTATTCCTTTCGTGATGTCAACGAATGCTCCTCGTCAATTTCATGATGCCAACAAATGCTCATTGAGACTTTGCAACCACAGATACAACTATAGTATGCTGTTGAACAATGCTGGTGTCAGACGCCATCAAGTATCACTCACGCTAACAGTGCTTGCTCAATAATACTCACTCGAATAGTAATCTGTATAGTGATCCAAATAGAGTAAAGAATAGCAGTCTGAATAGTAATAGAGGATAGAGTAGATCCAAATAGTAATAGAGGATAGACTAGAAATAGTGATCATGTTTCCTCTATGGTTACATGGTCTACTTAATTCAATAATGGGATCGCCTGTGTTTTCTCATTGGCAATCTATGTTCAAACTCAAGTGTCAGCAGCAACACTTTTTTCCTATATAACAATCCCAATACTCTGGCTCTATACACTCTTCATTATTTTATTACTCATTTTCATTCAATGCTAAATCTGTTCAATCATAATCTCATTTCTAACAGTATATTTCCTCTTTGTATTTTAAAAAAATAAAATTCACTAATTTTTCTAGTAAAATTCCAAATGATTTTGTTTTCTCTCTTCAGCTTGTCCAATGGGAGAAGTCTCCCTCCTGAAGGTGCCACGAGGGTCGTATGTCCGTTTACCTAGCAATGATATTTCCTGCTCCAAGGTTTGTCACTGCAGCCACAAGAATAAAATTGACCACTGCCAACCTCTTCCTTGTGTCAAAACAGAGAACTGTGTACTTCAGCTTGGTCATATAAAAAGTAAGTATCATAAGAGAGGAAGACAGTTCTTTTGTCGCTTCTGTAGAGTTGTACAATAAGCACTGTGATCAGAAACAATCATTTTTTCCAAGTGTTTTTTTTTTCATATTTCTATAGACTAAGCACTCCAGACCAGGGATATATATATATATATATATATATATATATATATATATATATAAAATTCTATTAAATTTTCTAACAGTTAGAACGTGGAGAGTGCAGTTTACAATGTAAATTCATTGTAAATTGGTCCCCACTACAGAAGCCAAAACAAAATATGCTCATAACATGTTATTTCTTAAAATTTAAAAAAATTTTTTTTTTTTATATATTTCTATAGATTAAGCACTCCAGACCAATAATATATATATATATATATATATATATATATATATATATAAAAAAAAAAAAAATTATTTTAATTTTTCTTTATTTGAATAAATGAATATTAACCTTTTTTTTTTTCATATAGCTGTATTAAACATTCTTTGTTCAATTCAAAATCTATGGTTTTATTTCATAACATCTAAATGTATACCCTTTAAAAATGCCGCTAAGTGTGCTGTATTATTTTCATTTGCTTAGGTGTGCCATTGCTTGAAAAGGTTGAGAAACATTGGATTAAGCACTCCCGATCACTAATATAAAAATATTATTACATTTTTTAATAATTTTGTAATTATATATATTTTATGACAGTTAAAAAGTGGAGAGTTCAGTTTGTTATGTAAATTCATTATAAATTGATCCACTAACAAAATATGCTCATAACATGCTATTTTTTAAAATTAAAAAAAAATAATTAAAAATAAAATTTTTTTTTTAATATTACTTATAGATTAAACACTCCACATCATGATTGCAAAAATAAAAAAAAATTAAGCTTTATTATTATTTCATTCTTTATTATTTTTATTATTTTTTAATTAAAATCTTATAAAAGTTAATGATGTTAAAGTGTTCTCTGTAAATTTATTACAAATTGATTGCCCTGAGCCAAAAGAAATCTGCTCATATGTCATTTCTTAAAATGTTAAAAAAAAATAAATAAATAAATAAATATTTAAAAAAAAAAAATGTAAAAAAATAAGAAAAAAAAAAAAAAAAAAAGAATATTTTGAATCCCTAATCTATAGTGCTTAAGAAGGCAACATGGATTAAAGAATAGTGGCTCGAATTGAGGAATCAGAGAGCCAAGTTCAAATTCCAATCAAATCCATTGCATTCACTTACATGCTAATACCCTTGAAAAAGGGTAGGAATCCTCTTCTCCCTCCAAACTATGGGTAAATAGCAAGACAGACTGGGTTCTATAGCCTTGGATGGCAACTGGCCTACTGCAGAAAGAAATGGCAACCTAATTCAGGGAAACATCTGCCTTGTCAGTCATGTATCAAAAGATACATGATCACCTAAGTGTGTATCACGCAGGATACATAACAGACTGGATCTAGTCAATAGTAATATATTGGTAGCTTCAATCTTAATAGCGTAAGATATGCATATGACACAGTGTTGACAGCAGATATAGAAAGGAAACTACAAGAACTCCTACAGAGGGTAATGAAGGAAAGCAAGTAGAAAGGACTAAACATGAATTGCAAGAAGCTAGAATGCATAGTTGCCAGCAAAAGAAACAGCACAACACACAAATTGCAAATTGGAGATGCCAAAATCAAACAAGTACAAAATATTAATTATCTGGAAAGTTTTTTTAATAGCAAAAGAAGTCTTCCAAAAGGTAAGTATTAAGAAATAGGAAAATTTAACTGGAAATAAAGAAAAGAGTACTAAACTGTTATGTAACAGTGGTATTCCTACATGACAGTGAATGCTGGATCATAAATCAAGAAGAGACATGAGGCAAAAGAAATGTGGTTCTACAGAAGGATGCTGAGAATACTATGAACTTGAACACATGAGCAACAAGAAAGTTCAAGAAAGTTTAAAAAAAAAAAAAAAAAAAAAAAATGGAAACCAAAAAGATACTTATACCTAGCATCAAAAAGAGACATATAAAGATAGAGGTCATATTGAAAGCAAGAATGACAGTGGAAAACAATGCATAATTGACCTAGCAAACTTGAATAAACAGATTGTAGAACAAGGTTTAGGAGAAATATATAAAAAAAAAAAGACAAAATTTATTAAGATGGAATTGTGAAGAGCCATGGCATAGAAGAATTGATCATAATGGTGTTCCTGGTTTATGAAGTTTTATTTTTCCATAAATATACACCAACTTGTATTTGCCAGTGATTTGGAGTTTTACAGATCCTATTTCTGCATTGTTGGCAGTGATTAGCTTGTTAACATGTGCTGATCATCTCAGTCATTTTATCTTCGGTTGTTGTTGTTTTCGACCACCTTCACTTTCATAATTGCAAAGTTCATTCAGCAATACCATTGTGACTGCAACTTCTACCTTGAGTGACTCTTAAGCCTTGTATTTGGTGAAATTTAGAACATAAAAAAAATTTTAAATCCCTTTCTTTAGAATTTTCTCAACTTTCTTATATTTATTATTTTTCAGAATTTGTTTTTCGCTTAGAAGAGAAGCAAACATAAATTTAAACAGGATAATTTACAAAGTTTTTTTTAAACATTTTATTTTCAGTGCAAAATGTGGCATTCATGTCACAGTGCAATTTTTGCACCTGTTATGCAGGAAAAATCATTTGTACAAAACGTCAGTGCGTGAGGCCAAATGAGAAAAGCATTCAATCATACACTGGTAAGTACTGGCATTTATACATTAAGACCCTTTCACTACTGCATTTTTATAACAACGTTGCCTGGCTGTACTGGCCCACTTTTTCTTTTTTTTTTTAAGAACAGAAAATTGCCATTATGTCATTTTGGTTTTGATCAGATAATCTACAGTAGAAACTCAGCTACATGACATGCAATATAAAAAAAAAAAAATAGGTCAACTTGTTTTTTACACTGGTTTAGAAATGGCATTAAGTGCTAGGTAATGTAAAAAGGAAATGCTAGCAACCAACAAGTGTCTTGAAAACGTGTGTGTGTGTGTATATATATATATATATATATATATAAATAAATAAATAAAAGGTAAAATAATCTGTTGGTATATAATCCAAGTGGATCCTAGTAATATAAAATATTAAAACTGACCTATAAACAAAAAATAAACAAAAAAAAAAAAAGAAGCTTTTTATACCATGTTATTTCTAATTTATAAACTTTTCCCTACTTTAACAGAAAGAGAGTTGGGAGATATTAATTTCTTACATCCTTTTATCTATATATTTTAATTTTCTTTTGGGATTCATTTTTTTTTTTTTTTTATTTCTCTTTTAATTTTAAATTAAAAATTCATTTTTTTTCATATAAACCCAAATTAATGTCATAAGTTTAATATTCGGGTTTATTTTAGTAAAATGTCTTCTCTTTAAGACAAATACCTTCCACCCTCCCCTGACCCATCTCATGCCTTTCATTTGACAGAAACATTAAAAAGGTGTAAACTCTGTATTAAATGTTTTTGGCAAGTTGAATTTGGTGTGATTTGATAGCATTCAGTTAAATTTTACTTCCTGCCTCATCAAACTTTATAAACATGAACTTATTCCACACTGGGGTTGATAAGACAGACAACCGATATCATTGTCTGCCAAAATAGGCTATTCCCCATATTAGGTAATTTTAGATTTATTTGTTTTTATATATATATATATATATATATATATATATATATATATATATAAACCAAATCATTGCATTCTATATATATAATATATTGATCAGCTAAGTGACAAATTTTATATTTGTATTAATTCTCTCTCTCTCATACATACATACATACATACATATATATAATAATAATAAAAACACAAACCCTTAAAAAGCCATAAGATTATATTTATTTCATTGAGGTCAAAAAATTTATGTAAACATGCATATTTACTTAAATTTGTTTTTCAGGCCTGGAGAAATCTTTTCCATTTTCATTTGGATTATGAAATCTCAATTTTCCGACCTCAATGAAATAAATCTCATGGCTTTTTAAGGGTTTGGATTAAATTTATTTATTTATTTTTTTATTATATTATTGCTCTGTCTCTGACAGAACTCACTATCCTTTTGATCTTATCTTTTGGATACATACATATATATATATATATATATATATATATATATATATATATACAAACCACACACATATATAATATATATATAGATTATATTTATATATATTGATATATATATATATATATATATATTAAAACACACACATTATATAAATATATATATATTTATATTAAATTTGTTTTATATATATATATATATACAGGCCTGGATAATATTTATCCATTTTATACATTTGGATTATATAAATATATATATTTTCCACACACATATATCAATGAAATAAATCTATACATGGCTTTTATATATTTTGTGTTTATTATATATTATTATATTATATTATTTATTATTTTATATATATATATATTATATATATATGCTCTGTCTATGATAGAATATCTCCTGGATCATATATATATATATATATATATATTATACACACACACATATATATATATAATATCACACACACACATATATATATATATATATATATATATATATATATATATATATATATATATATATATATATATATATATATATATATAAAATTATTATAACATTTGACTTCAATATATTATTCAACTCTTATTTGTGCTGTCAGAACCCCAGTAACATTTAAATTGCATTATACTCATGTAATATCAAAAACTTTGTTGCTATGCATTTTTTTGTTTATAATATTTCCTGAATATCAAATTACAGGAAAATTAAGTCAAAATAAAAATGAAGCATGTGCCATGTTTTTTTGCTATAAACAAAAATAATCGTAAACAGAATTTATTAATATGGAACACTTGTCATTTATTAATATGGAACACTTGTCATTTAGAACTAGTTAAATGGTTGGACTCTAAAAACTGAAAATTAGTCTATAAAGGTTTGGGTTAGTGGCTTTCATGATGTATCAACCTTTGTTGAGTTATTTAATGTTGAAATCTGTTTTTATTATACTTCGTTCTATAGGAAAACATTTCGCCAAGTTAGTGCCTGAGTAGTTGGGGAAACATTGGTCAGATTTGTGCCCACATCTTTGGGGAACAATTGGTTGCATTTATACCCAAGTCTATAGGGAAACTGGGTTTGCACTTGAGACTATGGGGAAACATTGGTCATCCAAGCCAAAATTTGAAACTATCTACCCAATATGTGGCTCCTTTTGGGGCTGCAATCAGTAAATTCAAGGCCCACTAACAGGGTGGTAGTCTAAAAGTAACTTGACTGAAGAATGAACATACGACAGATGTCATTGAACTCTGATCTTACTATATTGCCACAGATCAGTTTAAGGTCAAAGCTATTGCAAAATGGATTATTGTTTTCATATGACACCTATGATTTCCACACTTTCATCACAAGTGGATCATTAGTTCAGAAACTTTCATCACAGACTCTGAGGTAGCCATTTAAAAATGTTTTCAAATGTTTACAATCTTTGAAACTACTTTGGCAGTTTGTCAAATAACATGTCAGAAAATATGCTTACACCTTATGAATGTTTCTTTTTCAGGTCTTCCTTGTAATTGCAAACCACATCATGCACCTGTATGTGCTCGAAATGGCAAGACTTATCCAAACAGGTGTTTGGCTCTGTAAGTATATTTCTTTAGAAGAAAGAATTTGTTGCCACAATGTTGATCTCCAGAAATTCCTTATTTTAATAAACATAGCTCAGCCATATCTCTAATTAAAATACGATGTTTAATAAGCATCTACCATTTGTCTATGTATTGACTACTGCTGCCATATTTGGTCTGATACTTCTGCTATATATCTCTAGATTCATGACTAAATTCAAAAAAAAGTCTGTAAGGTAATCAATCCTCACCTGACATCTTGACTTCAGTCACTTTCTCACTAATATAACATGGCTTCCCTATAGATAATTTCATAGCAATTGTTCTGATGAGCTGATCTCCTTAGTACCTCAACTACATGAATTTACGTGTGCTACTAGATTGGCAACTAGGTCTCACTATTTTACTGTTGAATTAGGAAGATGCAGCTATATGTTCTATTCTAATAATTTTTCTCACCTGTGGAATTTCCTTCTGAGTTCTTGCTTCTCTGCCACATACAATCTTCAAAAATTTTAAATGCAATGCCAATTATCTTTTGTCTTTCTGAATCTTATTGTCCTTTCTCCTCAGTAATTCTCTTTCACTTTCAGTAATTCCCTGTATCCTAGTGGCATGATTGCCTTGCTTGAGAGTGAAATGATTACAGAAAGAAATGCATGTTTACCTGGGCAGGAAATGAAACAAAGCTTAAAATGATTGCATCAAATTTAAAGCTGTTGTCCAAAACCCAAAAAAGAAATGTTTTGACAAATTGAAATGTTGTTGAAATGCCACATTTTGGTGGTCTATGCTTAATGACAAGTCGTCTCCTGTTTATACAATTTAAAATTATTTACAGATGCTAATTACCCCAAGCTTTTATTATTATTAAAGTATTGTCACTCATATGCTGCTATGGCTGATGGAAAAGAGTGCATACTGGTCAAGGATTCTTAAGCTTTTTCTTCTTATATTCAAATGATCATAAAGAGCTTTTAATAGACTTAAACAGTTTTTTTAAGCAAGGTGATAAAGCCACTAAGACAAGGGGTTACTGAAGATGAAAGAGTTAAGGGAACAGAAAACATTAGAGAAAGGACAATAAAACAAACAGGATTCAGTGAGAGAGAAAATGACTATTGGCATTAGATTTAAATTTTTTTCTGTATCATAGTTGACAGGAAAGAAGTTGGAATTGGGCTCCAAGGATTAGAAGTGCAAGAGAAGAAACTATGGCAACAAAAGTTACAGTTAAACAATTTCAACAGTAAAATGTGACCCTTGCTGCCAATCTGATAATTCATTAAAACTCATGAAACTGAGGTACTGTGGTAAACAATCCCTATGCAGAGATGTCATCAAAAATTTTGACCAAGTCGAGATGTGCTGCCAAAGCCTTGGCAGACATTTGGGCAATATTTTTCACACATAATTGCCATAACATAATCCAATAGAGAAATAAATAAATTTTCACCAATAACATGGATTTATTTCCTGCTGACTTTGATCCATCTTAATGAAACACCCTTTAGAAGCAAGTTAGTCAGAGTGGCTTGCATCTGGTGCAAAGGAAAATAAGTTCCTTACTTCAATATACGAGACGTAGCATTGTCATTTTGTTCGTTGAAAATGGCATTAATATCCCTTCAAGTTGGATTGTTCCTACAGTATGTGCTGTAATGGTGGCTTTTGTACAGCTTAGTGTGGTTTGACCAATAACAAGTTGTGTGCTGATTGCTTGGACTTGAGAAGGCTTTTTGCCCAGATAACTTAGAACAAAAGCAAAGAATGCTAATTGGTTAGTCGGCCGTGGTGTTGGCATGATAAAAGAAGGCTGAAGTAGTGAGAAGGAAGAATTGTTTTTTGCATTGGTGAAGTGTGCCGAACTCACAAAAAATGGATTGAACACAGGGTATTTGGGATTGTACGAATGATGTCCAAGGAATAGAGACTCATTTAACTAAAGGTACCACAGAAGAAACCACTTCAGAATGTTTGCCATGAAAATATTTGTTGGAAAGTTACAGGGAACCCCTAGCTGGTGGGGGAGGGGAGAAAAGAATTCATACCTTTCCCAAGAGTATTTGTTCAAAAGTGAATTTACAGATCATGACAGGTATTAGGGAAATGTGATGAAATATACTTTAATGTTTAAAAAAAAAAAAAAAAATTATTCAGTATTATTATTGTTTAGGTAGTAAGTATTATAACATAGCACAAATAGCTATATTATGAAAAAAGGAATTTTCAACAATATGCGCATTTTTTTTTTTAACATGTTTAGGATTATTTTTTAACGTTTATCAAAAATGACATACTTGTACATCTAGTTATGGATAATATTATACATTAATTAATAATTTTTTAATTAATAACTATTTGTGTTCAGTTGTTGACGTAAACAGCTATCTGCTGAGATATTAAAATTTTGGAATAATGCAATAATAAAATTTTAAATTTAATCTCTCTGATAGATGTCACAATCTGTTAATAAACTTTACTGAAATTTGAACTCACCTCTCTAATTTTTTTTTTCAAGCTGCTAAACATTAAGCCACCTGCATATCCATTCTTTCCTGTTCATAGATTTCTTTGTTCTTTCTCCCACTAAAGTCTTCTCATTCTTGGTAACCCCTGGTATCTTAGTGGCATTATTGCCTTACTTAGGTTGAAACAATTTAAAAAAAAAAAAAAAAAAAAATTATATATATATATATATATATATATATATATATATATATATATATATATATAATATAACATATAATATATATAAAAGAAAGAACAGTAAGATATATAATCTTATAGATATTTTATTTTTTACAAAATAGTGCTCAATGTTAATTTACAGAGCATTAATATTATAAGTTAATCGATTTAAAATATGTTTTTTTCTGCTACACAGTTCGCTTAAGGATGAAATGGAACTAATGTCCTTAATTTAATTACAAAATTAAATTTGGACCTTCCATTTTGAAACATGGTTAGAACTGTGTAGCGAAAAACATTTTAAATCAATTAATTTATATATATATATATATATATATATATATATATATATATATATATATATATATATATATGAAGTTTTTCTAATTTGAATTTTTATTTCATTTTGCTTCCAGGTGTGCTGGATTTAACGAAGGTCAGCTTGCATATGGAAACTGTTCCCTTGTCAATCCATGTGCCAAAGTCAATTGTGGTGCAAATTACAGGTAAGTCTAGTTAGACAGTATGTCTGGTCCCAAGGAATTACTCATCCTATAGCCAAGCCAATCACTTGAGTCCAATGCTGTATAATTCTGTTATTTTTTTTTTTTATATCAAAACTGATCGGTTTCAAGATTGTCCCAACAAATTACTCAGATAAGAGAATATTGAACAGAATGTTACTGTCTACTCTTTGTTTTGATGCACGAGATATAATAAAAAAAAAAAAATTAATTATTCATACTATTTACATGTGGACTATCATTGTCATCTTTATTGTTGTTGTTATCAGGCAGTGTGTACTTGGACTCAGCAGAAATAGGGTGTTGTGGAGTAGTTTCACAGTGGAGGCTTGTATTTGTACTAAGTCGATCCTAAAATAGGTTCGACGTACCAAACATTAGGAACTTCCTATAATAGGTATGACGCAGAGTAAATCTAGTTGTGGTCGCTGATACTTTAGTATCCGACTAACAGTCGTCCGGCATCGACTGACTGACTGTCTCCCACTGAGCGACTCACTCGTTACTCTTACTACTCCTCCTTATTATAGGTGGGAGAGTCTATTAACTATAGAATAGGTGTGTTCCACTATAACATAGGGCAAGCAATAATCCAGCAGTATTAAAACCAAGAACTACATAAGATATTCCTAGATGTGGTCAATGGAATGAGAATAGTTTACACCCATAGATTAAATAAAAGGTTCAGTTCAGAATTGCCTGTAAGTTACCCAGATCAATATATACCTTGTAGGTGGAAACAAAAGACCACACCAGCCCCCACACTGAAAAAAGATTAAAACACAAAAAAATGGATTTACCGACAGAAAGAGTTCACACATACCTTGTACATAGAATATCCAGAAAGGAAAATAGTCACTGCCAAGTCAAAATATTTAAAGGCAGTAAGTTCACGTGAGACTTTACAAGATATATGAAGTAGACTATATAATGCGAAACCAAATTGCAGTGATATTTCATTTATTAGTCTTGCTTCAGGACTGGTTTGAGCTGTTGTTGCTCAAAGATATTTCTAAGCTATTGTCGCTAATGCGAACTGTTCCAAATAACTCATGAATTCTTTCCTTTAGTGTTCCCAACGAACTTGTTTGCCACTGATGGTAGAAACTTTTTCGACTCATGTGGCTTCATACCTGATGAAGGCTAAAAGGAACAACAGCCGAAATGATGTGATAACAACAATAAAGATGAGGACACTATTCTGCATATAAATAGTGTAAATAATAACTCCTCATCCCAGAAATTTAGACAGAAAAAAAGATTAAATTTATAAATTGCTCTACAGCCTAGCCAATCATTTGAGTCTAATACTGTGTCATTTTTTATAGGCCGCAACTGCTTGCATCTGGTATTCCAGCAATGTGACAGAGAAAAAAAATAGGAGGAGGAATCTTGGTCACATTAGGAGTACATTGTTATCCTAAGAGTTTTTTTCATCCATTCAGTGTGAAATATCAAATCTGTTTTTCACATATATAACTGTTGAAAAAGAAAAATTTGATAAAGTGTTGAAGATTCTGTCAAATCATTATCAGTGCATGGAACCAAATTTTCTAAATACATAATGTTAATATAAATTAATTATGTAAGTAGTTTAAATCTTTCTATTCCAATTAGTACATTAATGGAATTAGAAAGATATAAAACAAAATTTACATTGGAATTTGTTTCATTTTAAAACCTTTAGATTCAGTGATATTTTATACATAATAAACATATATATATATATATATATATATATATATATATATATATATATATATATATATATGTGAAAAGTGTGTATATATAAAGAAATATATAATTATTTATATATTATATGTGCAGTACTTATTAGAAAGCGCTCAATATCAGAGATAGAGCTAAAAATTAATCAGTTAGTCTGATGATCGTAAAAGCGTGAAACCCAGGGTTACAAACTCACAACAATCCAACCAAATATATATATATATATATATATATATATATATATATATATATATATATATATATATATATATATACATGGTTATAATTTATTCCATTGGTTATAATTTATTATATTGGAATCATAAAAAAAAAAAAAAAATTGTCAGACCTATAAAAAAAAAAAATATATATATATATATATATATATATATATATATCTCAGAGAAAGAAAATTGTAGGAATCATTGGCATCCTTGCAGAGGCAGAAATCCAATCGATTTTACCAAAAGCCCATTATAATTGTTGAAATGAAAAGATTTTTTTTTTTTTTGGCAATGTGATAATGGTAATTCCTATGAAGTAGAAATCCCTTCATCTTTTATCAGACCAACAGTAATTGTTTATCTCACATTGTGTTGTGCTACCCTTACTGCTTGGGCATTTATATAATCTATACCTTAGCTATGCTCATTCTGGGTATGACAATAAACTACATCTGGCAGCAAAGCCTCTGATTGGGAGGTCTTCAGAAGCATAGTACCACCTCTTACTTGCTGTTGTTCATAGCTCCGCCCTGTCTCAGAGTGGTAGCACCAGTTAGGGTCCCAGCTATGGGCAAATAGTGAACACCCAAACTGGGGTCAAAATATAAAAATACACGAGCAAAAAATTACCAATAATACATTGTTATAGTAATAAAAAATTACCAAGAATAAATTTATTTTATTTTTTGGAGAGGAGAACAAAGCTCACAAGAAAATTAAATTTTGGCATTAAATGACCCATAAGGAATTGATATACCATTAAACAAACCAAACCAAAAAACCTTAGCTATGCTAATTAGGCAGTCATTTATATATCACTACAGTAATATTAACCATTGCCTTATAGGGGAAACATTTGACATTCATTAACCGAACAACTTGGGTCACAGTCAGTTGAAATTTACAAAATCTTTCTCTTAAAACAATTTTTCAGGAAAACAGGATTGTTAAGTCCAGTAGCTGTTATCATTGTTGCTAGTGTTGATGGAAGTTTCATTCCTAACTTTTTATTTGAAGTAGTGTGGAATCTCATCATCTTGATATTATTATTACTAGAATTTGTTGAAATCCACACAGTATTTATTATTGTTGTAGTTATCACTAACATTTTTTTTGCTGAGATTTTACAAACTGTCTTGTTCAGTTTTGCAAACCAGTCAATGAAATTTGAATAAGCTGTTTTGTTTGAAAAAAATACAAAAAAAAAAAAAAACTACTTCAAGGTTTTTATGTACTCTAGAAAAACCAACTGTAATTCGTACTCCACTAGCAGCATGGCCTGGCGTTGCCCGTGCTTGATTAAAAAATCATACGACTCATACAGCAATCGCTATCACTCGACTTAAAATATTTTTGCCTTTCCTTGCCTTTAAAGGAGTGCCCTTTGCCGTGCTGATGTTGCTACATGCCTTACTTCTTGCCTATCTCACACTGCGAATTTTTTCTAAGCTCTATACTAAACATTAAATCTGTTACGAAAAAAAGAACTAAACAAAATGAACACAAAATGATCAGCTTTAAAAAGGACTCGTAACTGGAAAAAACCGAATGAAAAAAGAATGTTAACAACAAATACTTTTTCACACCCAACCCAGTTCTGCGGAATCAGAATCAATGTTGATTTTAAGCAAGCGAATGAGCCAATTGGAGTAAAGTGCCATATAGATATAGATTTTTTGCTAGTTAACATTCATGTCAGTCAGCTGTTGGCTCTCATGCTTGCCAATAGAATCTTCCTGCCTATTCGTGGCATCCAGCTGGCCAGTAGAAAATGGCTGCAAACTACATGAAAACTGCCGTAGAAGCATGAAAAAAATGAAAAGAAAAAAAAAAAAAATAATCGATTAATTCCACTATCAGGACTAGGAGTTGGAAATGCAAAAGTTGGTCTTGGCCTTCTCACTAACTTGGAGCATCTGCATGTAAATTTTGGTGCAAATCCGTAGAAAATCATGGCCATGCATTTGTTACACACACACACACCCTGCCTTTTATAGATAGAGATTACCTGTTTGTAAAGCCCCCCAAAACTTGGTTTCGATTGGCCAATGTATGGCTATTTTAGTCTGTCTGTCACACCCTCTAACAGAGGTCACAGAATTTTATATATAGTTTTTCTCTGAGGGAGTAGCCATGGTTAAATGCAAAATAGAACAGAACTGCCAAGTTTGCAAGAAAAAGAAAAGAACAAAGCAAATCAAGAGTAATATGGCAAAAAGTTCACAAACTAAGAATTGGCATTGACGCACAAAAGCAAGTTTGGATATGACCTCAAGACAGACCAGGACAGAGTCAGATGAAACCGAGAACCAACTTATTCTATTGTCTAGGAACAAATCCCAGCATGTATTTGTGCGCTTCTGCCTATAAATTGGGAAGTGGCAAGCATTTTGCAGCCATTCTAAGTAGTTGTTATACCAGAACATTACCTATTCTATTGTAATAGACTCTTTCACACATAAGTAGTAGTAGCGGTCGCCAGTTGGGCTCAGTGGTGTTGAGTGAGTCAGTCAGTCAGTCGACGTCGGGCATTGAAGTATCAACCATCACAACTAGATTGCTGCGTCATTAACTCTTATTTCAAGTTCCTAACGTTTTGTACGTCGAACCTAATTTAGGACGACTTATTGAAATACAAGCCTCCACTGTGAAAGCTACTCTACAACAGTAGTATTAGAATAAACAGAGTTACATGTGCTATTCATTTCAGTTGTTAAGTCCTCAAGTAATGTGGACTCTGTTATTTGGTACAGTCCTGCATTTATGATTCTGTAGCCTCTGTCCACAAGGTTCAAAAAAGAGAGGATGGTTATATGAATAATATTTGACAGGTTAAAGGAATAAATTGTTTTATATCTGAAAATTTCCAGATAAGTGAGCATAAGTTAGCATGTGATTGTGTTTAATATACTATATAGTAAATGTATATTCCTTTTATAAATATTTGTAGGTGTATTCCTCGGCGCCAGGTTTGTCTTGGTTCTCAAGATGTCCCATGTGAACAGTATGTCTGTGGTAAGTAAAAGATTCTTCTGTAAATTATCATTTATTCTTTTTCAAAGATTGGGGACATTATTGGTTTCTTCATCAAACATTAATGATGAGAATAAATTATCTGCAGTTCATGTAAACAAATTAAAAATTTTAATTCACAAAATAATACTAATTTATGCCTCATACGACTACAAAGTCTGGTGTCTGTTCCAAAGGTATTTATGCATGAGACCCAGCTAATTGGGTATGGTCTTTATCAGCTCTGGGGCTTACAGCTACATTATGTCAAAGCACCAGTTCCTGTATGATCACCAAAAGTTAAGCAACATTGAGCCTGGGTAGTACCTAGATGGGTGACCATTTGGATGTGTGGGTGGTGTAATGCTAACAGCTTGGAATTGTAAATTGGTGATTCAAGTTTCAATTCCTGTCAAGTTCATTATATTCACTTATGTACAAATACCCTTGGGAAAGGGTATGAATCCACCTTTCTCCCCAACTATGGGTTAAAAGGTAAGATTTGTATTACTAAACCATTATCATCTCCCCACCCTGCAAAGGACGTCTTTAATATTTTCTGGTTTTTTGTAAAGGGTTAATAAAAATCAAATTCCCAGAGATGTTAGACTATAATATAACAAACTCTTCCAAATAGGACACAAATTTTATAGTATGATGCAGTGGTTCCCAACCTGTTTTTGGTCATGCTCCACCTATGCATCTCTAAAATATTGTTGTTGCCTGTCACAATGTACAATTCTTATTATTCAAAAAACAAACTATTTATGTGGATGAAGTCTAATTTAGTCTAAACAAGTTTCCAAAGAACACAGCATCCATGAAAGAGAAAAATAAACGAACAAAAGAATAGTTGAAATACTGAGGAAGAAATTCCTAAATTGAAATTGTTAAAAAAAAAATATATATATATATATATATATATATATATATATATATATATATATATATATATATATATTTTTTATTTTTTTTTTTTTTTTTTTTAAAATAATTGCTTTCAAGTTCTTATCTTTAAATTTCCATAAAGAATTGAAACCTGCATTCTTCCTTTCAAACAGAAAAATATTGGTTCAAGTAAGGATTTTATCTTTAAACCTAGAACAGTAATTTTGTGTTTGATAGATTGCTCTTGTTAATTTGGATAAAATATAATTTGGTAAATTAACTTTAAAACTTGATGGAACCCCAAACAGTTGCACAAAATTCAAATTTTCCTAAGAAAAGTATTTTCCTTAAATGTTAATTTATATTTATTTTGTGGTCTAAGAAACGCAAATGTCCTGTTCTAAGGGCAATGAATAAGAAGAACTCTTTAGCCAAATCAAAGAATATATGTCCTATATGCTGATAAGCAGTTTTTTTTTTTCATGAAAATAAATAAATAAAAAGTCTGACAATTTTTAAATTTTGATTTCAGTTTTCAGAACGCCAACATGTAGTAACCATTATCACCAACCTGTATGCGATACTTTAACTGAGGAATTTACAAACCTCTGTATGCTACATAACCATGGCAGGGTCTTGGCATACTGGGGTCACTGTTGGGTAAGTAATCAATGATAATTTCATTTTTAAAAGCTTCTAAATACTGCAATGATTTGTATATAATATGCAACCCCCTATCTTTGGGTTACAAAATTCTGAAGAAAAAAAAAATTTCATGTATATTGATTGACTTGTTTATTAGGGCTTATCAACCAGGTTATTTAAAAAATATTTTTAGATTGTAGTTTTCTGGAGACAATAAGGATTTACAAATACAAGTCCTACTAATTAACCTATAGATGGGGAGAGAAGGGATGGATTCATACCTTTCCCAATGGTTTTTGAGTTTAAATAAATATAATGAACTCGACTGCAATTGGAACACAGATGTCCAATTTGCAATTGCAAACCATTATCCATTACACTGCTGACACATCTAAGCTTACAACTCCTAGTATTCCTAAGCAGTCACCCATCTAGGTACTGATCAGGCTTGATGTTGCTTAACTTCAATGATTGTATGAGAACTGGTGTTTCAATGTGATATGGCTGTAAGCCCATCTAGTGTATAATATGCACCGATTTTTTAGAATTAGTACAAGCTAAGTTAAATGTAAATTGACTATTAAAAAGTAAACAAAAATTGAGGATTCCTCAACTATTTGGCCCTTCAAAAATTACTGGATATAGTAAAATCACTTTAATAAAAAGATAGGCAAGAAAAATACCTGCTTCAGCATGGAGTGACCCATAAGGGGTTGAGATGGTGTTCAACAAAATTTTGCTTTATATCTAACCTAAATTTAACATTTATGAAAACCAGATGTTGACAAGAGACTTTTTCATCTTTGATTATTCTTGAAAAATCAAATCAGTTTTTATATGAATTTTAAGAGAAATTACCAATTTTGTTTTCTTTTGTCAGTGAGATTTAATTAGGGGACTTTGCTCTATTATTATATGTAGTTTACTTTCATTTAAAAAATGAGAGTGATAGAAAAAATTCTGATGGGTCATTATTGTAGCTTTTACTTGGGGGACCCCAAACACCTATGGCACCAAATTAAATTTTCCAATCTCTTTTTCTTTCCAGGAAAACTGCAGAACAAAAGGATTTGTTTGTGGTCACAATGGGGAAACCTACAATTCAGAATGTGAAGCGTTTGCTCATCGCACAACTGTTGATTACCTGGGGATATGTCGAACAGTTGGGCAGCTTTCACGTCAGTAGAAGTTTCATTTTTTTGTTCATTCTTTTGTTTTTTCTCCCTTGTTCATATTTTCTTCTAATAAGACTGGTGGAAATTTTGCAATGACTGCAGATTCCATCCTAGACCCCAGTGGCTGTTAGGTGTCAATTCTGGATAATTGTCCCTGATGGTATAATCCATAATTGTTGAAATCGACTCCACGCTTATTTTACAAACACAGTATCCGCACAGCTTCAGATGGCCCTTCTTGAAGCTGGAGGGAGGTCTGTTTGGGACATAGGCGATCATGGCTCTCCAGATTCATATCTGTGAATTGTCATGTGTTCTTCAGAAAGATAGTGGTTTCCTGTTGCTTTTTTCAGTCTTCTTTCTCCTAATATCTAAAAAGACTAGAGAATCCAGACTATGTTGGTATTTAACCCATAGCTCAGGGAGAAAAGTTGGATTCATACCATTTACAAGAATATTTGTGTGAAATATGCATTTGGCTTAGTAATCTCATCCTGTTTAACATTATATAATTTGTGAATATGTCCATTAGAAATGCAGATTAGAAATTTGGCTATTTTATACAATTTATATTTACACAAAATTATTTTATTGCAGTTCAAGACCAACAGAATTCGCAGTGTTTCAATATTGAATGTCCAGAAATCCGTCCAAAATCCTGCCAACCACTCACTCCCCCTGGTGGCTGTTGTCCAATATGTGGTCAGTAAATCTTTACAAATTTCAATTATTTACATTCTATTTAGGAGAGATAAAGAGAAAACAAGAGCAGAGTAAGAGAAATTAGGAAAGACAGAGGAAGAAAGAAAAGGAAAGAAATGAAGAAATAGTGAGAGAGAACAGAAAGTAATAAAGAGAAAAGGAAAGGAAGGAAAAAGAAAGTAAGAGGAAAGGAAGGAAAGAGAAGCGATGTAAAAGAGGAAAGAAAAAGAAAATAAAGAGACAGTGGAGAGTGAGAAGGAAATAAGAAAGGAAAAGATGAGAGAGAGAAAGAAAGAAGAGTAAGTAAGAAAAAAGAGAAAAAGAAGAGGAGGAGGAAGAGAAAATGGTAAAGAAAGAAAAAGTAAAAGAGAAAAGAAAGGAGTAAATAAGAAGAGAGAAAAACAAAATAAACAAGGAAAAGAGAAAGAAAGGAAAGAGAAAGAAGAGAGAAAAGGAAAAGAAAGGAAGTAAGAGACAGGCAAAGAAATTGTAAGAGAAAAAAAAATAGAAAGTAAGATCAGGAAAATAAAAAAAGATATAAATATATAAGGAGAGAGAGAATATAAAATATATATATATATATACACACACACAGAGAAAAATAGAGGGGATGGGGAGAAAGTGTAAGAGAGGAAGGAAAAAAAAGTTATCAACATCCACCAAAATTCCATTTATTTCTTTCACATTTCATACCACACAGGCAATATTAATCTCATGTTGACCAAATCCATTATTATTCATTCTTGACTAATGTTTCTTTCTTTTTCTTTTGATACCATTTTCCTACCACTACATGGGCATTGCCTTCTCGGACATTATTTTTTTTTCTTTTTCAGCTAACAAAAGAAGGAACTTGTTTGCCAAATATTTTCATTTTTGTTTTTACAGCTGCAGAACTGCGAATCCTGTACAGTTTGTCCTTGGCAGATTCTGCCTCCAAGGTCACTCAAGTTGGACCAATCACAACACAAGCCATCATTGAAAAGTTATCAGAGATGCTCAGTGTACCTCAGTGTAACCTCTTTGGCTACCTCACTTTGGAAGGAGATATAGTTATCCTCATAGCACCAGTCACAAAAGAACCCACTGTGTTACAGGTAAGCAAGAATCTGCACACTATCGATTTACTTAAGTCCAATGACAGAGGACATTTTCAAAGCTGAACATCATAAAGAATTTGAAATCCTCATATGTTGCTATACATTGAAAAGGAATTGCTAGATGAATTGGATGCAGAATAAATTATTGTTCTTCTACATTCAATGCTTTACTGTGCAGGAAACTTTTTTTTTTATTCATTTCATATTTATCTGTGTTATCTCCTGCCAGTAATATTACAAAGAAATACACCTGTTTTTTTTTTGTACTTTTAAGATACTATAGCATCCCACTATCACTTCGTTATCAATGTATAATTTTGTACATTTTTGTGCAAAAAGGTAGATCAGAGAGCCTGCTCAGCTTAGTAAATATTTTCAGGAAATATCAGCTTCTAATTGATCAATAAACACACAAGTGGGCATTGCAATCCACCCACATACAAATATCTTTCCAGAGAGTGACCAAGTCAAGTTTCCCGCCCTTTGCTGTGATCCTATCACATGATTACATTATCTATAAATCATCATCTTGCGGCCTCAGCCGAGATTGAACTCACCAATACTTTGATTGCTGTAGTTCATAATCTTGTCAATAGCTGAATTCTTGATGCTTTGCTAGGGCTATCAAGGGTGCTTTTTTTTTATCGTGACACCATCACTAAATGGATTGCCAACCAAGGCTCAGAGAGACTCCATTCACCCTCATCTAAGAGCAGGTTTTTGAATCAGAGTTTTCCTTCTCCTAGACCAGTTGCCATCCAAGGCTATAGAACCCAGTCTGTCCTGCTATTTACCCATAGCTGGAGGGAGAAGAAAGAGGATTCACACCTTTCCCAAGGGTGTTAGCACGTAAGTGAATGTAATGGATCCGAGTGGAATTCGAACTCGGCTCCTCCGATTCCTCAATCCAAGCCACTATCCATTACTCCACCATGCCTCCTCTTTCTATAAATAGCAGACACGAGTTCGCTCTTTTCTCTTTTACTCTTCCAAATTCCTGCGAAGATGTGATCTTAAGGATTCTCATCTAGACCATGGGTGGTCAGACATTAAAAGCATATTCACACATGCATGTACATACAAACTTTCCAACCTACATTACAAACATACAGAACATTTCCAAACAGGCAACAAAAACTTTTCTCTTTGAAATATTCTTCTAAAAGTACAGTTTATTCAGCATTTCTCAGCTTTATAATCAATTCAACTTTTCTGAGTTCAGATAAAAATATTCCCAGTCTAAGAGACGTAACTCCAACAGATCTTTAACTTCTACACATGTACATCAACACACAAATAAATACAAATGTTATGTTTTTTAAAACCATTTTGTTCCTTCTTGTATTTCACGCTTTATGGTATTTTGTTATATATAAATTGTGTGGTCATGTTATTCACACAGCCATAAACAGACATCTACAAATGGTCCATTCTTATTACCATACCACTACATGTGGTAACCCTGATGTTTGACATGGGGGTGAGAAAAACAAATAGACCACTACAATACCATTTTAGTTGTATACATGATTAAAAAGCATAAATATCCAAAGAAAGCAAACCTTAAATAAAATGCAATGTTACTGACGTGTTAGTAAGTGATTTGATTCAATTAGTGGTCATAATTCTTATTACTGCTGGGGTTTAAATTTTAGAGATTATCACAGTTGATGTAACATGCGATTCAAAACAAATACCATCTTCTATCCCTCCCCCATCAAAAAAAAAAAGAAAAAAAAAGATACCTATGTGGGAGTTAGAGAAAGTTGGGTGAATCAGGTTTACTTTCCTAATTCTTACAGTACAAAGTACTGACCAGGCTTAATACTACCTAAATTTGATCAAATTAGAACTAGTGCTTTTAAATTAATCAGAATGCAAACTAAATTACTTCAGCATGAGGCTTATTGGTTCTAAGTAATGTCTCATCATAAGGGAATATCATATCTCAAATAGAGGAGATGAGGATGCTTGACCAATAAATAGTCACATGGCGTTTATATATCCATAAATAAAAATAATACAAATATATAGCATACCAACTTCATAGTTACATAGGCAGTTCTTCCAGCAATCATCCCCTGACAACTAGACAGAATATCAGCAATAGATTAACTTGCATAGCAATAACATACATACAAAATGACAGAATTTATTTACCATAATTTCTCGAAAGTAATATGCATTGTTTGTCTCTTTTACTGTAAATTACAGGTAATAGTATATGTGCGTATGCTAAATAGGTTTAAATTAAACAAAAATATTTTTCGTTATTGATTTATAATAATAAATACATACTTGTTAAGAAAGATGTTATCCCAATTTTCATTTGAAATCCAACAATAATAATTGTAACATTTTTGTTTATCATTATAACCACATTTCTTATTTGGCAAAAAAATAAAAAAAATAAAATATCTACAAAAAACTTAATTGTCTTTCTTTCACAAATTCAACTAAACTTTGTTCCATATCTGGATATTGAGCTTTTCTTCCTCTTTTTAGTTCATATCCTTTCTCTATAAATAAATGTATGTTAGCCTCATTCAACTCATATTCTCTAGCTGCAGCTCTGTTTCCTATTCTTTCTGTTAATTCTATTACTTTTTGTTTAAAATTTGCACCAGCATGACTCAAACGTTTTGACAACATTTTAGGTGTAAAACAAAAAAATGTTATATTTATCGATAAAATCTGCATGGTTAATTTTCAACATTATTTTAGCCACTTAGTTTCGATTTTATTCTTAATGTCAAGGTTGGCAAAATGTCTTCGTAATTATTTTTGTCTTTTTTTGACAAAATTTATAGATGCGTATTACTATTATACATAGGGATAGATATATTTCTTAATTTTTGGATTATTTCTTGGGGTGCATGATGCGCATTATTTTCGAGAAATTACAGAACATACTGGCTTATCAATCCTTCGCAGGTTATTTAAACAAGAAAAAGAAACCTGTAGTGAAAGAGATAATCAGGTACCTCGGAAAAAAGTTCGTGTTTTGTGTGCGATCTGCCGAAGAAGGAAAATTCGGGCATTTTTGGCTACGGCGTTTGTTCGAGTTTGAATTATTTCCTGACTGGTTACACGCATTGTGATAGTACCGACGAATCGAGTTTTCAGCATTTCTTTCTGCCCCCGATACTCGAGTCTGTACTTAGTGATTTTTCTTTGTATTGTGAAAGTAATCTGCGACAAATTTGCTTTGAGAACGCTTACACTTACAAAACCTTACAATTCATTTTTGTTTATTTATTTATTTTGCATTAACAAAGATTTTTTTACCAGATACAATTCAATGGGATGGAGGAAGACATAGCAGCTTTTAATCAGGGTGTACTGTAGTATTTGTAGAGAGATGCATAGTGTAACCCGGATATAAGAGACTTCTTCTCTGGTCCCGACAACTCTATATCCACGTTACACTGTATTTACAAAGTTTTGATTGAAAATGTCCAACTACTACCTTGTTCTAAAAAACTAAATTTCAACATGAAGAGGAATTTTATTTTTACATTTTATTTTATTGTAGCACAAGAGAGAAAATCTGTGAACACATATAGTGTTTTTTTTTTTGCAACTTTGTTAAAAATTTAGTTATTAGGTGACAGCCTAGGGAAAAGAAATTTTCTTCAGTGGTGACAATTCTAGCAAGTATTTTGTCTAATGTTGATTTTTTTTGTTTACCCCATAGGTTTCAGCATGTGATCAAGAAGCGGAACGTCTCCACCAGTTGATAGAGACAGGAAGCCCCACAGTCCATTCTCACTTAACGCTGATCCCTTTACTAAATGCAGTCTTACGGACCCCAATTGTGATCCCTGTAGGAGGGGCAAGCAGACTTTTGAGCCCATTCTTTATCATAATAGCACCCATCTTCCTGGCTTTAACCACCTTCGGCTGTT